TATACTTTAAAATATAATTTATTTCTGTGATGCAAAGCTGAATTTCCATCAGCCATTACTCCAGTCTTCAGTGTCACATGACCCTTCAGAAATCATTCTAATATGCTGATTTATTATTAGAATTATCAACGCTGGCAACAGTTGTGCTGACAAATATTTTTTTGCCGACTGCGATACTTTTTTCAGGATTCTTTGATGAATAAAAAGTTAAAAAGAACAGCATTTATTCAAAATATAAATCTTTTCTAACAATATAAATCTTTGCTATCAATTTAACACATCCTTGCTGAATAAAAGTTTTAATTTCTTTCAAAAAAAAAAAGAAAGAATACAAATTTACTGACACCAAACTTTTGAACTGTAGTGTATATTGTTAGAAAAGATTTCTATTTTAAATAAATGCTCTTCTTTTGAACTTTTTATTCATCAGAGAATCCTGAAAAAAAGTATCACGGGTTCCAAAAAAATATGAAGCAGCAACAGTTTCCAGCTCTGATAATAAATCAGCATATTAGAATGATTTCTGAAGATCATGTGACACTGAAGACTGGAGTAATTATGATGGAAATTCAGCTTTGCATCACAGCAATAAATTACATTTTAATGTATATTAAAATGGAAAAACTTTATTTTACATCATAATATTATTTCACAATATTAAATTTTTTTCCTGTATTTTTGATCAAATAAATGCAGCATTGATGAGCTTAAGAAACTCCTGTAAAAAAAAACATTAAAAATCGTTCTGATCCCAAACTTTTGACCGGTAGTGTATATGAAATGTATACATATAAATAACCAATAATAATAATAAGGTATTTAAAGAGCATATGTATACAACACTATAAACATGAAGTATATACATGCATGTAAAGTGTTATATTAGTGTATAAATTGAGCAGTGCAATGTAAACAGACAAATACGCATGTAATGAGGTAGGTTGGGGACAGACTAAACATAACATAACAATTACAAACATAAAGTAGCAGTAGTAGTATACTTTTATTTAATGCCATGTCAGCATCTTAGGCTAAAATACAAGTATAACAAATACAATAAAAACCAGGAAACAAACAAACACACGTTATATTACGCAAGACTTTTTACCTTAACATATGATAAAAATTCTAAAACTTTTTCTGGCAAAATTATACTTAACTCTTTAAGTGAGTTCACTTCATAAAAGGGTTTTCTACATACATTAAAAGCAGGACAGTCCAATAAAATATGTTTGACAGAAAGGAGAACCTTGCAGAACATGCATTGAGAAGGGTCTTCACCTTTAAGCAAAAATGCATGAGTCCGTCTTGTATGACCTATGCGACATCTGTTTTTAAAAAATCTAGTTTTAAAAGAGATTAAAAATCTGTTTGAAATTTCTGGATGCATTTTATACCTGAAGAACCTCATGGGTCTGATCCTCTGTGTTTTCTTCAGAAGAAACTTTGGGCACGGCTTTAACAATGTTGCTGAGATCCACACCTGCGAGGACAAATCAAACCACTTCATTATCATATCACCATATACATCTATATCTACACACCAATACTGTATAATGTATTCTAATGTGTACATTAATTATGAATGCAAAGGTCCCTATTATTACCATTTTAAATGACCTATAATCTTTTTGTAGTTCACTTGAAAAGTCCTGCTGTGTAAAAACTACATTTTTATACAAGCTCCTAAAATAAATGTGATGGAAAGTTTTTAATTGATATTTTTGAACTCAGTATCAACAAATCAGGATATATATATATATATATATATATATGCAGTCAAAAAGCAGTCTGCAGTCTTTCTGAAATAAGTCTCTTATGCTCACTTAAAAGCTGCATTTATTTATTTAAAAAAAAGTTATTACATAAAAAAGATTAAAAACACATATGTGCATGGATGTAACTATATCTGTTTCTTCATTTATTCTGTATTTTACTTAAATATTTTATATGAGCATTGATGTAACTATGTATGCATGTATTCTGTTATTTATTTAAATATTATGCAATCAATGTCCCATTTGAGCATTTATATGATCATGAATGCGACTATTTATTTATTTATTTGTTTACTTAAATAGAACATTAGTTGTATTATAGTCAAGCATTTATATAATCATTGATGCTAATTTATTTGTGTATTTATTTTGTTATTTATTTACATATTATACAATCAACATCCCATTTAAGCATTTATAGGAGCATGGATGTGACTATTTATTTATTTATTTACTTAAATAGGACATTAGCTGTATAATATTTAAGTTTTATATGTGCATGAATGTGACTATTTCTTTCTTTCTTTATATAACTGGTGTAAAGTTGAGAATAATTAAGATCTTTGAATGTTTTTGACAGATGTGTCTTCTGCTCACGAAGGCTGCATTATTTGCTCAAAAATATATTCAAAACAGTAATATTGAAAAAATATATACAATACGTGACCCTGGACCACAAAACCAGTCATAAGTGTCAATTTTTCAAAATTGAGATTTATACATCATATAATATATAAGCTTTCCATTGATGTATGGTTTGTTAGGATAGGAATAATAAAATATTTATAGAAATGTGAGGGGTGTACTCACTTCTATATATATATACAGACATAAATATATATATAATTGGTATACATTTTACATACACATGCATATATTCACTCAGGCCAGGGTACACAACATAATTAAGTAGATATATTAAAGTAAACTAAAGGATTTTTCATGAACATTTTCTCATTAACACAGGTCACGTGTTTTTTTTTTAATAACTCACCCTGAGACTCAAACTGCTCAACGGCCTCCTTCAGAGCTTCGCTGTCCTCCATGTCAAACTCCTCGATGTTTTCTCTGACCACTGCATCAAAGGTCTCCTGTGTGATCCTGCGTGTGGCCATGACTGCAGCAGCTGCTGGAAACACCACAGCAGAGCTTCAGCTTCAGTGCTTCAGCTTCAGTGCTTCAGCTGGGCTTTTAATGCCTGACAACCAATGCATTCAAAAGGAAGCCTGTATTTGGTTATCAGTTCAGGACATGAAACTATGGTGTTACTATAGTTTTTAGAATTATATATACATTTTATGTGTATGGGTGTGTCTAATTTATTTATTTATTTATTCATTCATTCATTCATTGTTATTTACTTAAATATTATATAACTAATGTCTTATTTAAACATTTAAATGTGCATGATTGTGTCTGTTTATTTATTTATTTTCGATTTTTCTTCCATATTTCAGTTATGTCATATGTAAATGCTGTATTTCATTCGCATCTTTTGCTCATGTGTGACGCCAGGGGGAGCTGTATCTTCCAGCCGCGTGCGTGCGTCATGACGCTGAGCTGAAAGCGTCGCCTGAATATAAGCCCGCGCTGCGTCGTGACGCGTCCTTCTCCCTGCCTGTCCCCACCAGCGGAAGGCAGCGCGCGCTCTGTTCTAATAGCAGTGCTGAGTGAATCCTGAAACATCTGCCAAAATGGTACGTATCGGACGTATTCTTTGATTCGATACAGATGTGCAGCGAGCAGATTTTAATATCAGATGCAGTATTTGTGCGTTTAACGGGATTTTCGGTAAATGCGTGCGGGAAAAGGCCGGTTAGTTTCCCACAAAACAAAATGGCAGCGACTGTTTTGCGGCGCGACTCACTTTTAAAATGCTTTACAAATTATTTATCGTGGTTTCTGACTAGATTATATCTCGCTTATTAAATTCTCAGCGAGTATAACTCGAACCAAATCCTTAATGGGTAATTTTGAGTGGTTTGGTTTGTTTGTCAGGCCGGGCCTAGTTAGCATGTTAGCTAACGGTGCCACGTATTGTGGAAAGAATCGCGTGCTTGAGAAAAATCACATCTAAAGCCTTCCGTTATCTGTTTTTTTAACCCCGGTCTCCTGTGTGATCCTGCGTGTGGCCATGACTGCAGCAGCTGCAGGAAAACACCACAACAGAGCTTCAGCGCTTTGGTTTGGCTTTTATAGCCTGGCAACCAATGCATTCAAAAGGAAGCGGGAGATTGCGTTTGGTTTATTTGGTTTAGGACATGCAACTCAGGCAGATAGGTTACACTAACAAAAAACACAATAGGGTTACCATGGTTTTTGGACATGTACCATGGTAATACCACTATATGCAGTAAAGTACCTTACAGAAATATGAAAATAGCACATCACATTTCGTAATCACTCAATAATACTATGCTATATATCACATTACTCTGGTATTACCATCTGACAGCATCACTGACTGCACCATGGTACCGACACAATTCACCTGATTAACACAAAAACGTTATTTATTACCGTAAATCACTCGCCGTTAGTTACACTACCTGAACGTAACATTCACTCGAACCCAAAGCAAAACAAGCCGGTTTAACACAAAACTGATAATAATCCTCAAACTCGCCAACACCCAGCCAGCCTGGACCCTTGTGATAAAAGGCTCCTTGCAGAACAGTGGGCAGTACGCTAAAAGCGTAAGCATAGAACAGCGTGTGAACGCAACGCAATTTAACTGACTCAAGCGCTTCGTGAATTAAAGCAAAGCGTAGCGTTGCGTTTTCTTTAATGTGGCTCGGGTGAGATTCGCGAGAGAAAATAGGTTCCGCTTCATAAACGCATGGATGTAGACAGACAAAACATTGTTCATATTTAAAAAAAAAAGTCGTATGCAAATGATATAACTGATATTCCACAAATTAATGTTTATTCAAAGTACCTTGAGGCTAATTTGGGTATATATTTACACTTATCTGAATAATGATTAATGACCCTTTTCGAAACAAATTTACATTCGCCTAGGAATTTTACTTTTTAATACTCTTCACAATATTGTATTGCAATTGTTAATAAAAAAACCCATTAAATTATTTACATTTATAATAAAATTATTTATTTATTGCAATTTAACAACTGATGTCCTATTTAAGCGTTTATATTTGCGTGTTTATTTATTCTGTTATTTACATAAATATTATGCAACTAATGTTCTATTTAAGCATTCACATGAGCATGTATTTGACTACTCACTTATTTACTTATTCTGTTGCTTGCTTCAATATTATATAATGCCCCACTTTATTAATATGTGCTTGTATGTGACTATTTATTTATTTATTTAGTTCATAATTTATACTGTTATTTACTGAAATATTATACAATTAATGTCCCATTTAATAATTTATATGAGCTATTTATTTATTTAGTTAGTTAGTTATTAGACAATTAATTTCCTATTTAAGCATTTTATGTGTATGGATATGTCTGTTTTATTTATTTATTTATTTATTCTGTTTTTTACCTAAATATTATATAACTGTCTTATTTAAGCATTTCTATGTGCATGTATTTGACTACTTACTTATTTACTTATTCTGTTGCTTACTTAAATATTATATAATGACCCACTTTATTAATATGTGACTATTTCTTTCTTTATTTATTTAATTTTTTATACTGTTATTTACTTAACTATTGGACAATTCATTATTTATTTATTTATTTTAGTGCTGTCAAATGATTCATCGTGATTAATCACATCCAAAACAAAAGTTTGTGTTTATATAATATATGTGTGTGCTGTGTATATTTATTATGCATATAAAAATACACACACATAAATATATTTAATATATATTTAAGAAAAATATGTTGTATTTATATATAACATATTTATATTTATATATAATATGAATTATATATAAATACATAAATTTTCGGTAAATGCGTGCGGGAAAAGGCCGGTTAGTTTCCCACAAAACAAAATGGCAGCGACTGTTTTGCGGCGCGACTCACTTTTAAAATGCTTTACAAATTATTTATCGTGGTTTCTGACTAGATTATATCTCGCTTATTAAATTCTCAGCGAGTATAACTCGAACCAAATCCTTAATGGGTAATTTTGAGTGGTTTGGTTTGTTTGTCAGGCCGGGCCTAGTTAGCATGTTAGCTAACGGTGCCACGTATTGTGGAAAGAATCGCGTGCTTGAGAAAAATCACATCTAAAGCCCTCCGTTATCTGTTTTTTTAACCCCATAGCCTGATCTTTTAATTCCAGTACTAGTTCTTATGTTTTCCCTCTGTTTGTGATGGGCTGTGTGCGGTTTTAGTCACTTTGCCGGTCGGTTTAACGGCAGGCGTCGGGTGTGTTCTCACCGGCACACAGCAGTCACGTGTTGCTGTATCCCGTATGTGCAGTTTATCAGCGGGGCCACATCACGCACATGACCGTCTATTGTTTCGCAATGGCTTACGGTAGGCCGTCGAAAGGGCGCTAGTGGTGAATATTTAAGCAGGTGCATTTATTCTGGCCTTTGAATAAAAGCCATTGCGTTTTACGCGGCAAAATAATGCAAGAATTCGTTACCGCATTACTGTCGCTTATATACAGTCACGTGTCGCGTTCAGTGTTGACGAGCAACTAGTTACGTGTATCGGAATTACGTAATTTAATTACAAAATGTAACTAATCCGTTACATTTACTTAGAAAAAATGTGTAATTAAATTAGTTATGAAAATGTCAACGATTACAAAGAAGGTTACATATGAATTTTTTTCACACTTATACAGATTTAATTGATTTATTTACCGAATTGCATCGACTGCTTTAAAATATATAATAAAAAATAAAATTTTCCAACGTATTGTTAGATGCCAGTGTTTTTTGTCATAGCTATGCAAAGATTTGATTTCAAAAACGGTTTCATAACTAATAAACTATTTCTTGTTATGATTTTGAATTCGTGTTTAACCCCAGAACGACCTCAAAGTAAAAGAGGTGCTAAAGTCTGATTTTGTGGCTGCTGTGCTTTAAAATGTAATTATTTTATCTTAATAAAGATAGTAATCAGCGTTGAGCGCTACTGCAAAGTTAACCCGGCCTGCTATAAATGTTTCAAAGTGATTAACAGTTGAAAACATTCATTAGAAAATTAATCAAATGTAATCAGTTACATTAATAAAGTAATTGAAATAGTTACACTACTTATTATATTTTAAATAGGCTAACTTGTAATCTGTGTTTTTGTTGCATTTCCAAAGTAACCTTCCCAACACTGGTCATGTTTAATATAAATTTCACATTTGATATCTACTTCAAAAGGTCTAATTTGCTCTTTGTATATGGAAGAAATGCAACATTTATTCTTTAGGCCTACAGAAGTTTTGATGTGTTAAGGACCAGTATAATGTCATCTAGAAATCTTAATGTGTTGCTAAGAGGTTTGTCAAGAACGCATAATTCGTTTTGATGACGAATGACAAATGTGTCTCTTCCAGGTGAACTTCACAGTGGACCAGATCCGTGCCATCATGGACAAGAAGTCCAATATCCGTAACATGTCCGTGATTGCGCATGTGGACCACGGGAAATCTACGCTGACTGACTCTCTGGTGTCCAAGGCTGGAATCATCGCTTCGGCCCGCGCCGGAGAGACCCGCTTCACTGACACGCGCATACTTATTATATTTTAAATAGGCTAACTTGTAATCTGTAGCGCGTTGCATTTCCAAAGTAACCTTCCCAACACTGGTCATGTTTAATATAAATTTCACATTTGATATCTACTTCAAAAGGTCTAATTTGCTCTTTGTATATGGAAGAAATGCAACATTTATTCTTTAGGCCTACAGAAGTTTTGATGTGTTAAGGACCAGTATAATGTCATCTAGAAATCTTAATGTGTTGCTAAGAGGTTTGTCAAGAACGCATAATTCGTTTTGATGACGAATGACAAATGTGTCTCTTCCAGGTGAACTTCACAGTGGACCAGATCCGTGCCATCATGGACAAGAAGTCCAATATCCGTAACATGTCCGTGATTGCGCATGTGGACCACGGGAAATCTACGCTGACCGACTCTCTGGTGTCCAAGGCTGGAATCATCGCTTCGGCCCGCGCCGGAGAGACCCGCTTCACTGACACGCGCAAAGATGAGCAAGAGCGCTGCATCACCATCAAATCCACGTAAGAAGCCTGCAAATAAAATGCAATTAAATGTGTATATAAACATTATCATGCACAATTAAACCTGGAAATAGCAGGGAAATTTGCAAGCCTGTAAAAGTACAATTAAATGGATGTAAACATTATTGTGCATAACTAAACCTGGGAATATCAGGCAATTTTCTAAAATGCAATTCTGATTTTAATGATGTTAACATTTCCTGCATGACTAAACTTAGAAATATCGATTTTAAATTCGCAAGCCTTTAAACATGATTGCACATGATGACTAACTTGGGAATTTCACAATTGCAAGTCTGTAAATAAAATGCAATTTAATAGGAAAAACATTATCATGCATTACCGAATCTGGAAATATCAGGCTGTTTTAAATTTGCAAGCCTATGAAGTTGCAATTAAATAGATGTAAACATCATGTACGTGTAGCATAACTAAACGTGGAAATATCAGGGAATTTTAAAATTGCAAGTCTGTAAATAAAATGCTTTTAAATAGATATGAACATTATTATGCGTAACTACATCTGGAAATATCAGGCAGTTAAAATGGCAATCCTGTAAATAAAATGCAATTAAATGGAACCTGCTCATTATTGTGCATGCATATAAATGATGTTCAGTAGGGAGTGGCTGTGATGTGCATGAGGGCAAATGCTGTTCAACTGCTTTTTCACTGCTTTATGGTGTTGAGTCATATATAGCTTTATACACTGGAGTAAAATTAAGTATTTGTTAGGGGTGAAACAATATATCGTGTCACACATATTGCAAAACAAAAATGCAACAACGCGTCATGTATGATTCTACCAAAATGAAAGTTAAGATAGTTTAGCATCAAATATGGTCAAACCAGGAGGTCATGGATTTGAGCTTCCATGTTTATTAATAATAACTAAAATACAATGTTTTGAGTGCATGTAGTGAGGGACAGAGTGCTAACAATTTGATGCATGTTCTTTATTGCTCATAGAAAAATCAATCCTGTGTAGTTTAGTTGTAACGTAACTCAAACTCTAAATTCATAGTTGGCCAAAACAGCCAATCATTTATGACCTGCTTACTAGAACAAAACAAAAGCCAAGCGGAGTGTCTAATACTGCTATACAAAGAGTTTGTTGTTGATCTTTCACAGTGCCATCTCCATGTACTATGAGCTGGCCGATAATGACATGGCCTTCATTAAGCAGTGTAAGGATGGAGCTGGTTTCCTCATCAACCTGATCGACTCTCCCGGACACGTCGACTTCTCCTCTGAGGTCACGGCTGCTCTGCGTGTCACTGATGGAGCTCTGGTTGTGGTGGACTGTGTCTCTGGTAAACTTTTTACTGTGGTTCTACATCGTACTGTTGTTGATACGGTCTAAAGTCGCCTTTCCACAAATTAAGCTTTTAAATTGTACCAAAAGTCTTAAATTCATATAGTTAATGGCATTAAATGTTGCATCCTCTGCAAAAAAAAAAATAGATGTCTTCATCAGTGTTTGTCTTATTTTACAATACAAATATTTAAAGCTCCTTAAATCAAGGAACTTTATTTACCTTGTTTATACTGGTTTTAATCAAACTCAATTCATTTTAATCAGAAAACAAGTTTTATAATAATGTGATTTTGCTTTAATTAAATGCATCTTGATTTTAGAGTCTTCATTTCAACTGGAAAGCAAGTCAGGAATACAGAGGAAGAACAGCAATGTGTAAAACCTATTTCCATATTTTAGTGCTTGTACGTAGAGGTATTCAAGCCTTTTTTTTTTTTGCAAAGGAGTTAAACTAATGACAAGCTGTTTGAAGTTGTATTTTTCTGGACGTTTTAGTGCCGCTAATACAACTTGTGTTGTCCGTTTCTGCCACTCTTAAAACGTCTTAATTTGTCCTTTCATAAATTAAGGTCTTGAGGAGAAAGTCTCAAATTCATGAAGTTATGGTATTAAATATTGCATACGATGCAAAAATTATTATTTTCCTCAGCGTTTTTGTCTTGTGTTCCTTTTTAGAAATCGAATCATTCTTAAATCAAGAAACATTTAATTGAGATGCAAAATAAAGATGAATGAAATCTTGTTTTCTGAGAAATTGATCAAAATGAAGTGCCTTTGTACATAAATGAGAACAAATATCTGCCAATAGTGTCAGAAAAATAAACTTATTTTCCCTTTGAATTGAGCTTATTCATTAAAAGCATGAACAAATATCAGCCAAAATGGTCATAAAATTTGTTTCCCCTTCCATTTCTTTCTTGGTCTTAAAAAGGTCTTAAATTTAACTTCATAATACCTGCAGAAGTATCTCATATATGGATTTAACATCATCCACTGCTCAATATACAGCATTATATATAGCTAAATAAAGTTTGGTTCTACTCCAGAAACACAAACTATCTATAATGCTTACAAGAAAACATCTTAAAATATAAGCACAATTAGCATGGAGATTTACCGCTGATTACAGAAACGGCTTTCTAACAAGATGCGCATTAAATATCGCATGCGATTTATCGTGCAGCCACAATTAGCATCAAGCCACATTTGAAAATTTATGTGATTATTGTTTTTGCTTAAAACCCACTATAAACCATCATCGAGTGCTTGTAATAACTTCCGATTGTGATCTATAGTTGATTTTGATTCTATAATAGGCAGACATGCACTCTTTGTAGGCTGTTTAATAACGCCACACTGCTTATTGTCATAAACATCCTTTATTGTTACAAAATTACCATGAGCTGCATACAGAAAATATATCGTCGTAATCGTATGTCTATTTGCTTTCATATTTCATGTGTAGAAAAATATTTCACTCGTTTTTTTTAAACTGAAGATCTAGAGAGTTAACGCGCTCTGACTCATAACACTCGCGTACGTGGAAGAAAACGAACACTCCAGATCACATAATTCAATGGAGAATTTGGAAATTATATTAAGAACATGTGAAGAAATCTGTTCTCAGTAGGGTTGGGTACTGTTTACATTTTAACCGATACGGTACCGGTATCGGTACCTACATTTTGGTGCCGGTACGCAACGGTACCTTTTTTCGGTACTTTACTCTTGTGTAATTACAAAAACATTTATTTCAGTGAAAAAAATAGTCAAAGTCTCAATTTCAACCTTTTGAGGGTACTGTTTACATTTTAACCGATACGGTACCGGTATCGGTGCCTAAATTTTGGTGCCGGTACGCAATGGTACCTTTTTTCGGTACTTTACTCTTGTGTAATTACAAAAACATTTATTTCAGTGAAAAAAATAAGTCCAAAAGTCTCAATTTCAACATTTTGAACAATTGGGCCCTACAAACTTTTTTTTTTTTTCCCCAGAAATTCTTGTTTTAATTTTTCACAAAATCAAATGAAGGCATTAAACATTTATGTTAAATCAAATGAAAATTAAACCCTTTTATTTTTTGGCAAACAAACTGAGGTTTACTGTTGACATTAATACATGGAAGAAAGATTGTGTGAATATTCCTTTAAAACATGTAGCGTATGCGCCCAGATGCGTTATGAGGTACCGAAATTTGGCACCGATTGCTTTAACGTGATTCTGTAGTACCGATGAAATTCGGTCGGTACCCTTAACCCTTAAAAGTACCGAGTTCGGTACCCAACCCTAGTTCTCAGATACCAAAGATAACAGGAACTCTGCATCCACTCTCTTCTCTCTACCGGGATACTCTTCTTCGGTGTTAGTTAACACTGATTTTCGAAACCGTGCCACCACTCGTGCAACAGCAGCTGCTCTGGGCACATGATCTAAGCTCAAATCTGATTGGACGGCCCGTTTCATCGCGGAGCGACACACAGGATGAAAAAAAATCCTTGCTTTTTCGCACCGCGAATGATCGCGCCTGGTGTGAATAGCCCCATAGGGATCTATTGTTTCGATTCAAAAGCGTCATCGCGCCGAATTTTCGCTTTCAGTGTGCAAAGCCCTTTACAGGACGTTAAATGTCTGCTTTTTGCGCAGGTGTGTGCGTGCAGACAGAGACGGTGCTGAGACAGGCCATCGCCGAGCGCATTAAGCCCGTGCTGATGATGAATAAGATGGACCGGGCCCTGCTTGAGCTGCAGCTGGTCCCCGAGGAGCTGTACCAAACCTTCCAGCGCATCGTGGAGAACGTCAACGTCATCATCTCCACCTACGGAGAGGACGAGAGAGGACCCATGGGCAACATCATGGTGAGAGCATGCACTCATTCATTAATATGTGAAGTTAATGAAGTGCTAAAATGCTGTGTGGTCTGTGAGGAGAAACTATGCACCACTCTGATGGGCTGATGAACAACTAACCGCAATATCTGAGACCTGCGCTGATCTATTAGTGATTTCTAACCCTTCCAGAGCTGCAGTCTCATTATATCGGTGTGTTTG